GTGTAATAAGTATAGAGAATGGTATGGAGAATATGCAAACTCGTAAAGGGTTAAACAATGTTAAGGGTCTGTTAAAGCTGCCACATATTCCAACTCACCTTGAAATGTTCAAAAACCAGTTTCTTTACATAAGCAATGTCATGCTGTGGGGGGTCCAGCCCATCTTCAGCATTAAACACTGCTTTGATAGCCATGTGTGATATACAAAATGCTGCCAAAAAAAAAGAAGGAATGTTGAAGCTTTGAATTGATTAGAACATTAAGAGGTAATAGTAATCATGGGACGGTTGAATCCTTTAAAGTTACCTGATCCCTCATCACCGATCATGTGACCCCACCCACCACAGTTGAATGTTTGACCATTTGGCGTCAACATTTGACAGTTGGAGCCAGTCCCTGATATCAACACTATGCCACCTGCAAAAAAAATTTTTTAAAAGTCACTCAAATGCAAGGAAATATTATTTTATTGGGGAGTAGGGATGGAATCAGTGAATGGGTAACTGAGAACTGTTGAAGAAAGCTGAGGATGAATAACCTGCCATGGGTCCCATCCAGACAGAGAAACAACACTCCTGGTTACTTCATGGTACAGAAGCTGGTTTCATCCAACCGTTTCCACCCTAACATCAGTATGCATATTCTCCATACTGTTCTCTATACATTTCCTAAGATGCTGACAAGGAGAATTTGTTTAAAAATCAACAGCTTCTTTATTGGTGATTATTTTCTCTATTCTCGCATAGTTAATAGAGGGGACTGGTTAGGAGACCCGGCGAACATCAGAGGTGCGGCCTATTGTTTCGTATTTGATGTTGAACTGCACTGTGACGTCACAGCGAGAGTGCACATCAAAAACAAAGATGGCGGACATTGTGGAACATTTTCTCTTGTTTAGGGAATATTTGGACGGAATTCCAGTTTTTGGGCCAGATAAAGATATCGAAGAGTAGTTTAAAGCTTCAATAAACATGTGAGCACATATTTTGCATCTCATAAGAAAATTTGGTGTAATTAAAAAGATTTTTACTCGCTATTCCTGGCGCTACTCTATGGCCTATCGATGCTAATCCAAGTATTTATATATTTTCTTTGTCTAATTTGCTATGTCAGAAACTTGAATTTTCAATTCTTTCTTTTGTTCTTCTTTTGTACCTTTTTTTTTTGTATTTATTTTGTATATTAAACCCATTTTTAACGGACAAAACGATATAGAAAACATCATCACTACATGTATCTTCGAAAAATTGAGTCATACTCTCAGTTCAGCTGTACAAAGAGTCAATATAAAATGAAAAGGTAGTTAATTCATTGGAAGAGCTTAGAGAAAACACCTCCGACTTTACCGTGCTTATGTCTAAAGGTTTTAATTTCTTAAGCTTCTTTGGATAATTCATAAAATGGGACACTTACGTACTGAACAGTGCTAGATACCTTATGCTTCATTTGTAAATAATTTTAGGTCACAACACGGAAATACTGTAGTTTCATGTTATCATTTATTGTCGAAAGCTATAATTATTACTCAAGTTACATATTACCTGCCAGATATGCAATAAAATTATCAGTAACTATATAATGATGTCAACAGCAGTCTTGGTGTTTCAAGATATTATTGGCTTTTAGATCAAAATTTGTTTACATATTGTTCACATGTCTCAAAAATCATCCAAAAGACATCAATATAATAATCCACTACTAAATTAAAGCATATCTTTCAAAATGTAAGATCTAATTATGATCATTATCACTTGAGGCTAATTGATACTTGAATTGATTTTAACAATGAATAACTATCATTCAGTTTTTCTTCTCGTTCTGCATGGCAATTTATCATTTGTCACTTGTTCCCATTGTCGATGCTTATCCTTCCTCCCCCTGGTGTTACCGCTTTTGCATGAAACAGACCGCTGGATGTGGATGGTGTTGGCATTATATCCAAATTGGTGAATATCTAGATTATCACAATGCCTGCCAAGTTTGCGCTGGTCTCCAAAATATTATTCAACTGGGTCTTGACAGAAGCGTCCTATCAAAATAAATTCCATTCCTTCCTGGAGAAGGAACTTTGTACATTCAATTGCAGAACGGACAGTGATTTCAAATCCCTCATGTGTCTGCCAGGTTAAGAACATTTTGGCTCTGGCATTCTGGGTGTAATTACCAGGTTTGTTCTCTGTGCTGGTTTTCCATGAGTTCAGGTTCCCCAAACATTTCATCAGGAATTCAAATCTAGGTTAAAGAATAGAAGGATTATAGTTCTGATTAATTAAAATTTTGATTTATTTTCTATATTTTCCATAGAAATAATTTACTTACCATATAATTATCCATATTTACTCCTTTGAATTAAAAAAAAAATTGTCATTTTAACTAATCCACAATAAAAGCTGTTTATCTATAGGAAAGTAAAATTGGACATATAGCTAATTATATGATAAATTGGGTATTACAAGAGATACCTATTTCACCTCACTCATTTACTAACTAAAGCTTACTTGTGAGATCCTTTCACCAGTCAAAGATAAAATGCTTACCTCTCATCCTGAAGTGATGTACATGGAGCCAGGAAGGGCTTGCGCTTACGGATATGTTCAATCCTGCTTCTCACATTTAAACAGTTGAAGAAACGATCAACCATTTCACAGAGTTTGGCAGTGCCAGCTGCTTCAGGGGGCTAAATGCTTTTAGGACTGCTGCCATTGTTGAGCTCAAGACTTCTGCAGCAAGATTAACCCTCATAACTGAATAAGCATTCAAGTTAATATGCTCATATGTAAGCTTGGGCAGCAGTTTCAGACCATTGTTGAAGTCCTCATACACCATTCTTGTGATATGCTGCCACAAGACATACTGTCCATCATTCCACCTGTATCTGGTTCCCTTTGTTGCCCCTGAAAGCATAAGACAATTCCTTGTTGTCTTGATGAGATGTGGTGCATCACTAAAAAAGTATATATATCTGTGTGGGGCATAGAGATTCTTTGTGTGTAGCACACATCACATTGCACATCTCCAAGTGCATTGTGAAGATGAAAGAACTTTCTATTTGGACTTGCACCATCTGCTGTGGTAGCAACCACCCAAAGATTGCATGTGATTTCTAATAGGCATACTGCTTCCCAGAACAAGGGCATGAGCTGATATGATGTAACTCCTGTGGTAGCAAAATTAGCCAAGGTAAACTTAAGTTCAGTACAAATGCCACGCACCATAAATACCAGGACATGGGATGCAATGTCATCAGCATACATCTGAGTTGATGTCAGTGCAAACTGAATCTGCTAGATGATGGTGACGCTCTGGTCTCGGCATTGGCTTGCGAGATTCAATGCTTTTCGTAGGCATATTTAACTTAGATAATGCGTTGAATCTCGGATTCTTTCGAGTTGTGTTGTCAGTAGAAACTGAAATTAACACATAAAAGGTCGAAGATTAAAAGATATTTCAGAGAAGAGATTGCAAAAGGTCAAGAGGGACGAGATCGTGCAAGACGTACTGACAGTGGAGTCTGATGTAAACAGGCCACAGAGACATAAAATATAGACAATAATACTCACATATCTCGAAATCTTCGGGTGAAAAATGCTTCTCCCAAGTGTAGACTTGATCGTTCTTGAATTGCTCCCTAAAATCGGAGTCAATTACCCGAATTTTCTTGAGTTTTCCGAGCCAAGATTCGTGCCCTTTGCGATGTTTCGCGTCGTCTGCCTTTGGCGGTTTCCAAATTCCAATTCCTTTGGTCCGCCTTCACGATCCACAGCCAAAGACCGCACAGTTTCGGCCTGGCATGGCATATTATAAAACTATATAGTTAAAACTCCAATAATTATTTCCATGTAATCAAAAATCTACGTAAAGTATCGCTTCTTGTCAATGTCTTCCCCATGCGCTCTGTATTCAGCTGATTGACTGTGCACTCTCGTGGTGACGTCATAGGGCCAAAACGAAAACAAAGAGATACTCCTTTGATGTTCGCCGGGTCTCCTAACCAGTCCCCTCCACTAACTATGATTCTTGTGACCTTAATGTGTGATTTTCAGGTGATATTGTAAGGAGAAATTAGAAGTTAGTCACTCTTAGAGGTTAAAGAGTGAAAGCTCTGTTAGTGTGGGCTGTTAGGCCCAACAGCTCACTAAACTTGAATTTAAAAATCTTTGGAATATTTTCTTAACCCTTATCAACAAAGACTTCAATTCACTAAGTTGTCCATCGCCAACAGAAGGACTAACAATTGTTTCAAGTTTTCTGTAATCAATCAAATCCTTTCAATTTAAGCATAAGTATAATACCAGGTAAAGCAAACAAACAAAAAAAAAAAAAAACAAGGGAACCTTTATCAGATGCAGTTGCAATAGCACCAACAGTGTCACAACACATGTGATACTTTTCACTACAGCTCGGGTATTTTGAGAACATTGTAGAAATGGCTGTCTTCTTTATTTCTTCCTTTTCCATTCCACTTAATGATAGTCCCTGAAAAGAAAAAGCCTGTATGCTAAGTGAAACTAAATGCCCAGTAATAGTTCCAAGAAAGGCCAGTCATTCACAAGCCCATGTCAAAACATTCAGGAAAGAAAAATTGATTCTGCACCAATCTTCAATAATGAAATCTAGCCACAATAAATTTTGGAAAATATCCTGTAAATAGTAGAATTTAAAGAACAAGAGAAATATACTCCAAGTTGATAAAGTCAACTTGTTTTGAAAGGAACAATAGTACTTTAATTGTAAGTTGTAAGTTGTAAAACTATTACAAACAATTGTTGGGAAAATCACTTTACACCTGTCAGAAAAAAAAATATTGTCCTTTAGTTAAACATTCTTACTTACCAAAGAAGCTAGTGGCTCATTGACACCAATCCCTGCAGATCTTTTTGCTTCAATCACCATCTCATTCACTCTACTCAGGCACTCATCCAGACCAATCAACTGTTAGAAATGTATAATTTCCATGCAAAAACAAAAAAGAGAAATTAAATTTAAGTTTAAATGGCCAAGCAAAACATTGAGAAAGAAGTAAGGAATGCTTGAGAGGTCGTGCAGCTTGCAACAAGTCGATAAGGCTGACTAAAAATGTCAATTGGATACAATAAACGTCACACTTCTTGTCATACCTTGTCTGTTTCTTTATTTACATATTTACCCATTTTTCTTTTGGACAAATCATATCTAAAAAGCCAGTATAAATAACATGTATGTTTTCTTGCATTTTATGTGTAGAGGCATTACTTTTAAAATTACCATCACTTTGTCTTGGTCAGGGCTGGGGGAATTATGCACTATTTTATGAGAAATTATGCACCATTTTTTCTGTGATTATGCACCAAATTTAGCAAATTATGCACAAATTATGCAAGTTGTGCAATATTAAAAGTAATGAATTTTACATATATATTTTAAATTTATATGTAAGCTAGTCCATATTAAGAAAACCTAATTATTAATAATTATTTGCAAGGATATTGCTTAACTCTCTCTTTGGCCGTTACATTGTAATTTTTTCTCTTTGGTTTTAAAAAACTTTCCATTCTAAACTTGAAAAGAACAGAAAAGAAAGTTTCTGGAATAAATTAACCAAAATGGTGCCATTTTTCTTTCAAAAGCGTTGATTGGTTCTTTTTCCTCCAATCATATTGCTTGTAAGTCAACAATTAGAGCCCAGGTCTCCAGCAGCAAAAGACAAGAGGCCTGTTTGATTTTACTTGTTTTCCTGCGTGTTTGACATGATCTTTTCGATTAAAAATACAGTTTTTGCTATCAAAATTCACTAAAATCTGAAAAAACTATATTAAAAAGTTTTGAAGGTAGGAAAATTTATCTTTTAGGGCACATTTTTTTTTGAAATATCGAGAATTATGCAGAGATTATGCACTTTTTACAGGATTATGCAAATTATGCGTTTGAGCTAAAATTATGCGCTTTTGCATCGGCGCATAATTCCCCAGCTTGGTGGTAGGTATCATTTCATGTTATGCAGTTAACTTCTTAACTTTTTGCAGATGTATTGCATTTATCAGCTGGACCATGGTCCACCTAGATTAGCTCAGACTTAAAATGCCCAGAAAGAAAAGTGTTTCATTTAATAGTTACTAGGCAAGGCAGTGGCTTAACTCGCAAGCATCTTTTCTAAGTGGTTATATACTCTGGACAAAAGGTTTGCCAACCAGTCATTTTTTTAAAGCATGTTACATAATCATATGCATAAACATGAGAGAAAAAAATTAGTAATTACTCTTTGATTAAGAGACATCCTTCAGATCTTTACACTCCTAGGCTAAGGATTTTTTTTATTTACTGTAAAAGCCATTAAACCTTAGTTTTCCCTGTGCATAAATCTGCCTTGTTAAAGTATACCAAAGTGCACAATTCAAATCTTCTAATTGTAATTGCTAATAGCTTGTCTGAAACGTTGGTCAGGGTATTGAAATAAAAAATATCAAGACCATACCCAGTGATTTGTGCCTTGTCCTGTACTGCGGCCTACAATCTTTCCATCACTTGAAAGTATTATGGCTGTGGAGCCTGTTCCACCACTGCAATTAAAGAAATTGCATGAGAGGATGTACAGAATTTGTCCTACGTGATTTATGATAAACTACTGAATTCTCCTTTCAAATTTTCTTTGGCAGTGAGAATTTGATGTTGGATCAAAATTCACTTTGGTCTCATTCCACAATCCTTTTCAACTTTAATTTCCAAGTACTGTTAGCACCACAAAAACATCTGTGAACGATTTAAATGCAATTTTTAACACTTGAATGTTGGCCCTACGGCAAATTAATCTGCTTTTGCACACTTAAATATCATATGATTTGCATCCATTTGTTTCAACATTTTGAACTAAGCTGCTAATACAGACAATATATAGCAAGTGGTGCCAAAAAGACTTTCTACCACCTTCCCCATCCCAAAGATGTCTTTCCTAAGGTTCACACAGTTCCATCTTTTTATGTGCCCTTAAGATTGGCAGGTTTATCAAATGAATTCGTATTTTGGTAAAACTACAGTATACAGGGCCACTTGTTTACATCTCATTGAATCACAATACATCCTTTTCTTTTCTGCCTCATTCTTCAAAGCATGCCGACAAGGTGGACCTCAATGGCCCTGTATTCTGTAGTTGCCCTATATTTTTTCCTCTGCAGAAGCTTGGATTTTTTAAACATGGTTTCAAAGATGCTTTCATCTCTTTCTAAATGCCGAATACAGAATATTGTACCTTCTCCACTTTCCACGACATGCTTTTTAATGCTTGGCATAACAATTAATTTTGCAGATCAGAGCGATCTTCGTAATGGGTGGTTTGCACGTTACGTCATCGCCGCCATGTTGGTGGACGTAAACAATAGATATCTCACTAGCTTCTTTTGTTCGTCCACCAGCATTTGTTCCTTTCACCATTGTTACCAGTGTCTCTAGAGATTGGTTGCAAACCACCTATAGCGAACACGGCAAGAATTCCGTATAACCCCATACTTGATTATGCATTCAATTCTTGGATAAAGGAAAGCAGAGGCAAAACAACAGATTTGTTTTGGGACTACAGCTTTATTTTTTATTGGTATGGGGTTACACGGAAATCTTTCCACAAACACTACTTAGGCAGCAGTGAAAATAAAGCCTGAAAAAAATGAAGGCCTGTACAGTAGCTGAACCCATGACCTTTGCGATACTGGTGCAGGGCAAGAGTACATATAACCCCATACATTAATTATGCAATCAGACTAGTAGACTTTGTCTTTAAAGTTTTGTCGTGAAAGACAAAGAAGTGGAATGCATAATTAATGTATGGGATTATATGTTACTCTTTCCCCGGTGCAGTGCTCTGCCAACTAAGTTAACGAACCAACTAGGATCCGGGCATTTTTTGTTCGTTTGCATTACCTAGAGATTAGCGTTTATCGTGAAACTTAAGAAATCGTGCACGTGTAGTAGGCAGGAAATAACTCTGATGCATCTCGGCATGGTTTGTTTCTCTTATTATTATTATTATTATTATTTATTCTTGCTATTCACACATTGGAAGAGAAGTACACTAGAACAGCCAAAGCCGGGGGCTTAAATGGCCAGCGCCGAAGACTCGTGTATTAATTAGTGTTGAGTAAAATCACTCGATACTGTCTAGACGAAATTTAAGATATCAAAATTACGGTCAAAAGACCCTACAAACCCTTCTACACCTCCGAAGTACGACGCGCCGTTCACAGCCGCCATCTTGGAACTAAACCTGGGGAGTTTGGGCTTTTGTGACATCACGCGTTCCACAGACAGTGTCCTTCATAAATCACGCGATGGTTTGAGGTCTGCGGATGTCCTGCGACGAATTTCGTATTTAGGCGGATTCATGCTGACGTCATTGTTTACATTTTTGCTCATTTGCATACGGCTTTGCGTAAAGAAGGAAGCATGTTAGATACAAATTGACTTCAGGCAGCTAAAGAGCTAGAAAACCTCAGTACATGGTGAAAGTTTTAGCTCTTTGGGTGTAATATTCAAGTAGAAATAGTCCATCAAAAACTGCAAAATTTCTGAGTGGCAAAAGCGCTAATGAGCTCATACATTCTATGTAAACTTTTGAGTTTTTAAACCCGTGTTGCACAAAAAGTATTCAATGCATCAGGCTCGTATTCATTGGCCGAGTTAATCGTACTTTTACGTTTCGATATTCAGAACTGATTTATTTTTAGCTCCATCAGAAACTGAATTGCTTATGCTAATGAGGCAAATATTGTAAACAAGGATACCCCTATTAAGAGCCATGGGAGGCCAATTAAAAAGACAACGACATCGATGAACAATAGCTGGAATCGCAGCAAGAGAGAGAAAATTAAAATTAATGCTAACCCCCTGCTGTTGGAATTGATTCGGTAGACACACGAAAAAGTAATGGTTGCGTGAGAAGAGCTGAGAATATTTTAATATTGGAGCCTCTTCTCAGCTCTTTTCACGCAATCATTAATTCAAAAATTTGATCAACAAAGAAAGTTAATTTATGGAAAGTTGTGACTAGTTCAAACTATTTGCAAACGATATGTTACATGGTCATCAAATGCTTTCGTCATGAAAGCGATTGTAATTATTTGCGAATTGGGGAAGGCTGTGAATTTTTATTACGAAGCTGATATCAAAAATACCGTGTTCAAAAGGCTGAAAGTGTCTCAAATCAAGGGAACCCGGTAATGTATCCTGTCAATGCATGCTACCTAATGGCATGAGACAACCACTTGATTATCTTGCTCTTGGCGGTAAGTCATTTGTTACGTGAAAAATATCTGGGAAATTCCAGAATTGTCTAGAACAATGATCGACTTACAGGCGGAGTGTGGTTATGTGACGTCACGAGACTGCTCGTCACTATCACAAGCCAAAACACCCCTCATTCCTTAGTTCATCTTAGTTTCCTCAGCAACAAGCCACTAGGATGATCTTCCTAACTCCCAATGGGAATGATTTCAGTTTATGGCGTCAAGTTTTCCAAACAGTTTGCAGTTTAATCATAACTTCTTGGGGGAAGAGACACCGGGAGAGTAAATTACCTGTCTAAGAACACGACACAGTGACTTTGACCGGGGCTGGAATCCTGAGTTAAGGAGGCTGGGCCCAGCGCAAACACATCAGGGCACCGAGTCCCCTTAAATCTATCAGTTCTAAAATTTAAGGTGGCGTTGACCGCATAGACAGATCTTTTTTTTCGACTTCGCAGAAAGATGAATCTTGAAATGCTGCTTCTAATTCAAAGATAAAAAGTTCGGTTGATGGAACGCTTCTGGCATACAGGTAGATAAAGCTAAAATCGAGCTGAGGTCTTTATAAGAGGCTGTAGATTTGTCAGTAAAGAGATTATCATAACTTTTTGAAAAGTAATTAAGACCGCAAGGAGGCAAATCAGTGAAGTCATTTGAAACCACTTGAACATAATCAAAGACTCTGAATAACCGGCACCTGTGTTCTCTAATTTTCTTGTTTTTTTTTGTTTTTTTTTTTCCTATCTTGATTTCATTTGTGTAAAGCCAAAGTTTGACCATGAACGCGTTAAATATTTCTCAGGTTTCACACCCATCATTTCTTCCTGAAATAAACTAGTGGATTTGAACACGAAAAAGAATTCTGCGATCGAGGAATGCTGACTACGTTTTAAAAATAAACGCTAATCCGGTTGATATGTAAAAGTCGATATTGTTTCTGCATGATGCCAGAAACTTTCGCACACAAAATATAAGCAAAATATGAAAATCTTCAATGACAAAATAGACAGGCGTTTATCAGGCATAGAAATTCTAGATTAGTTTCGTCATCGCTGCCAAATGACACCATAAAATTAGAAAGTTTACGACGTTCCCGATCCAACAAACGACATTGTGACGTAATCCCGTAGCTATTGTAAATACATCTGTGAGATCAATAATCATTACTTTCTTAACCTGAGCGTACTTGCCCGAACATCTCATCTTCACGTAAGGCAAACAAAGGGTGGAACATGGCCTTCTTTGCTTTTGTAACACTTGCTTTGGCCTCACTTGCTTTTAGAGAGATCAGCGCAACCTCGAAAACCGCCCTAGAATCTCAAGACGGCGCCTATAAGCTGCAATGGAGATATAACAACAGCCAGTTGATTTTCACTCTTGCTTGTCAAACAACCGGTTACTGCGCGGTGGCGTTTAGTGAAACAGCTGATGGCAAAAACATGGTCAATTATGACATAGCCGTGACAGGATATGCCTCTGGTGCAGGATACGTAGATGTAAGTCAATCACGTT